ACTCATAGCAGCCCTGTGTACAACAGAACGAAACACTGCCTGGTCCTGTGCCAGCTTAATGATCCGTGTTGTACCTGCGTCCATTGTTGCAGCCACTGTGTCAATCCATCTCATTTAGGGCCTTCCCCTGGTAGTGTAATGCCTAAGGCACTTGACTGCTAACCAGAAGTCTGGCAGTTCAAACCCACCAGCCACTCCTCAGAAGGAAGGTTGGGGAATCTATTTCCATAGTGATACCACCTTGGAAACCCAAGGAGGGGTTGCTGTGAGTCAGGTCTGACTCGACAGCACATAACAACAACAACAACAATACACTTTACCAAGCATGATACCCTTCTCCAGGGAATGGTCCCTTCTGACAACATGACCAAAGTAGGTGAGAAAAGTCTGGCTATTCTTGCTTCCAAGGAGCATTCTAGCTGCATTTCTTCCAGGACAGATTTTTTAGTCCTTTTAGCAGTCTATGGAGCTCTGGTAGCATAGTGCCTAGGCACTTGACTGCTAACCAGAAGGCTGGCAGTTCAAACCCATCAGCCACTCCTTAGAAGGAAGGTTGGGCAATATACTTCCATAGTGATATCGCCTCGGATACCAAAGGAGGGGTCGCTGTGTGTCGGATCTGACTCGACAGCACATCACAAAAACAACAACATGGCACTATTAGCATTCTTCTCCAACACCACAACTTAAAAGCATCAACTCTTCTTCAGTCTTCCTTATTCATCGTCCAGCTCTCACATGCATAAGAGGTGATTGTAAATACCATGGCTTGGGTTGGGTGCACCTTAGTCTTCAAGGAGACATCTTTGCTCTTCATCACTTGGAAGAGGTCTTTTGTAGATTTGCTCAATGCAATACATCATCTGATGTCTTGACCGCTGCTTCCATTGGTGTTGATTGTAGAACCAAGTAATATGAGGTCCTTAACAACTTCAGTCTTTTCTCCATCCATTGTGAAATTGTTTATTGGACCAGTTGTGAGGATTTTTGTTTTCTTAATATTGAGGTGTAATCCATACTGCAGACTATAGTCTTTAATCATCACCAGTAAATGCTCCAAGTCATCCTCATGTTCAGCAAGCAAAGTTGTGTCATCTGCGTATCGCAGGTTGTTAATGAGTCTTCCTCAAATCCTGATGCTACGTTCTTTTTCATATAATCCAGCTTCTTAGACTAACTGAATAAGTATGGTGAAAAGATACAACCCTGACACACTCCCTTCTTGATTTTAAACCACGCAGTATCCCCTTGTTCTGTTCAAACAACAGCCTCCTGGTCTATGTACAGGTTCCTCAAGAGTACAGTTAAGTGTTCTGGAATCCCCATTCTTCTCAGTGTTATCCACAATTTGTTATGATCCACACAATCAAATGCTTTTGTGTAGTCAATAAAACACAAGTAAACATCTTTCTGGTATTCTTTGCTTTGAGCCAAGATCCATCTGACATCAGCAATGATATCTCTCATTCCACCTCCTCTTCTGAATGCAGCTTGTATTTCTGGAAGTTCTCTGTCAATATCCTGCTGAAACCGTTTTTGAATTATCTTCATTCAGTAGGATTTTACTTGTATGTGATAGTAATGATAGTGTTTGATAATTTCCACTTTCTGTGGGATCACCTTTCTTTGGAATGAGTACAAGTGTGGATCTCTCCCAGTCAGTTGGCCAGGTAGCTGTCTTCCAGATCTCTTGGCATAGCCAAATGAGTGCCTCCAGTGGGGCATCCGTATGTTGAAACATCTCAGTGCATATTCCGTCAATTCCTGGAGCCTTGTTCTTAGCCAGTTCTTTCAGTGCAGCTTCGAATTCTTCCTTTGATACCTTTGGTTCTTGATCATAAGCCACCTCCTGAAATGAATGAACATTGACTAGTTCTTTTTGGTACAGTGACTCTGTGTATTCCTTCCATTTTCTTTTGATACTTCCTATGTCATTCAAAATTTTGCTCATAGAATCTTTCAATATTGCAACTCAAGGCTTAAATTTTATTCAGTTCTTTCAGCTTGAGAAATGCTGAGCATGTTTTTCCCTTTTGGTTTCCTAACTCCAGGTCTTTGCACATTTCATTATAATAATTGGCTTTGTCTTCTCAAGCTGCTCTTTGGAATCTTCTGTTCAGCTCTTTGAGCTTGTCATTTCTTCCATTTGCTTTAGCTAATCTCCACTCAAGGGCAAGCTTCAGAGTCTCTTCTGACATCCATTTTGGTCTTTTCTTCTTTTCTTGTCTTTTTAATGACCCTTTGCTTTCTTCATGGATGATATTCTTGTTGTCATCACACAATTCCTCTGGTTTTCAGTGATTGGTGTTCAGTGCATCAAATCTGTTCTTTAGATGGTCTCTAAATTCAGGAGGGTTATTATCAAGGTCATATTTTGGTTCTCATGGACTCATTTCGTCTTCAACTTCAAGTTGAAGTTGCATATGAGCAGTTGATGGTCTGTTCCACCGTCAGAGTCTGGCCTTGTTTTGTCTGAAGATATTGAACTTCTCCATTGCCTCTTGCCACAGATGTAGTCAGTCTGATTCCTGCATTTTCCATGTGGTGAAGTCCACATGTGTAGCCATCATTTATGTTGTTGAAAAAAAGGTGTTTGCAATGAAGAAGTCATTGGTCTTGCAAAATTCTGTCATACAATCTCCAGCATTATTTCTATCACCAAGGCCATATTTTCCAACTATCCTAACTCTTCTTTGTTTCCAACTTTCGTATTCCATTCACCAGTGATAATCAGTACATCTTGATTGCATGTTTGTTCCATTTCAGACTGCAGAAGTTGGAAATAATCTTCAATTTCCTCATCTTTGGCTTTGGTGGTTGGTGCATAAATTTGAATAATAGTAGTATTAACTGATCTTCCTTGGAGGCATATGGAAATTATCCTATCACTGACAGCATTGTACTTCAAGACAGAGCTTGAAACATCTTTGTGACAATGAATGCTACACCATTCCTCTTCAATTTGTCATTCCTTGCATAGCAGATCATATGGTCATCTGATTCAAAATGGCCCAAACCAGTCCATTTCAGCTCACTAATGCCTAGAATATCGACCTGTATGCATTCCATTTCATTTTTGACAACTTCCAATTTTCCTAGATTCATACTTCGTACATTCCATGTTCTGATTGTTAATGGATGTTTGCATCTGTTTCTACTCATTTTGAGTCATGCTGCATCAGCCAATGGAAGTCCCAAAGGCTTTACTCCAGCTACATCATTGAGGTCATTCCTTCTCTGAGGAGTCAGCTCTTCTCCAGTCATATTTTGAGCGACTTCCAATCTGATGGGCTCAATATCTGGCACTGTATTGGACAAGGTCAGGGCTATTCATGAAGTTTTCCAGCAATATATCAGTGTTTCATTGCTATTCATAAGGTTTTCACTGGCCAATTGTTTGAGAACTGGATGGCTACTTCCTTCTTCTGAATCTGTCTTAGTCCGGAAGCTCCACTGAAATCTGTCCACCATGGGTGACTCTGCTGGCATTTTACAATATGAGTGGCATAGTCTCCAGCCTCACAGCCACCACAGGACATAAGCCACCACTAGGCAACAAACTGACAGACAAGTTTACCTCCCTTAGTTTTTCCTAATTCCTCTGTACCCGCCTCTCCGGGGCCCAGCCTTAAAATAAAGCTGGCCCGGAAGCCAAGCTGAGCAGCCTCACACACCTGCTATTTTTTGGTGGCTATTATAAATGGTATTGCTTTCCTTATTTCCTTTTCAGCAGTCTATTTGCTGGTGGAGAGGAATCCAACTGATTTTTGTTTGTTGATCTTGTGTCCTGCCACTGTGTTGAATCTCTCAATTAGTTCCAGTAGTTTTCTTGCTGGGTCTCTCCGGTTTTCTGTGTATAGGATCATATCATCAGCAAATAGGAATAGTTTGACTTCTTCCTTACCAATTTGAATGCCTTTGCTTTCCCTTTCTTGTCTTATTGCTCTGGCTAGGACTTCCAATATGATGTTGAATAGAAATGGTGATAGAGGGCATCCTTGTCTGGTTCTTATTTACAAGGGGAATGGTTTCAGTCTCTCTCCATTGAGAATAATTTTGGCTGTTGGTTTTGCATATATGCCCTTTCTTATGTTGAGGAATTTCCCTTCTATTCCTATTTTTCTGAGAGTTTTGATCAGGAATGGGTGTTAGATTTTATCAAATGCCTTTTCTGCATCAATTGATATGATCATGTGGTTCTTTTCCTTTGTTTTGTTTATGTGATGGATCACATTGATTGTTTTTCTAATGTTGAACCATCCTTGCATACTTGATATGAACCCCACTTGGTTATAATGAATTATTTTTTCAGTATGTTGTTGGAGTCTATTAGCTAGGATTTCGTTGAAGACTTTTGCATCTATATTCAGGAGGGATATTGGTCTGTAGTTTTCCTTTTGAGTGATGTCTTTGCCTGGTTTTGGTATCAGGTCATGCTTGCTCCATAGAAAGAATTTGGGAGGATTCCATCCTTTTCTATGTTTTGGAATAGTTTGAGTAGGATTGGTGTCAATTCTCTGAATGTTTGGTAGAATTCTCCAGTGAAACTGTCTGGGTCACAACTTATTTTTGTTGGTAATTTTTTTATGACCTGTTCAATTTCTTCTTTTGTTATTGGTCTGTTCAAATTTTCCACCTCAGTCTGTATTAGTTTAGGTAAGTATTGTGTTTCTAGAAGTCTGTTCATTTCTTCTAGATTTTCAAATTTGTTGGAGTACAGATCTTCATAGTATCCTGATATTATCCTATTTTTTATTTCAGTTGGTTCTGTTGTGATGTTGCCTAATTTGTTTCTTATTCATGTTAAGTTTTCCAGTGGTGTGTCAATTTAGCTTTTCAAAAAACCAACTTCTAGTCTTGTTGATTTTTTCTACTGTCTTTCTATTTTCTGTTTCATTTCTTTCTCCTCAAATCTTTATTATTTCTTTTCTTCTGGTGCTATAGGCTTTTTTGCTGCTCTTTTACCTTATGTGAGACTAAAGCTGGGTTGTTTGTCACAGGATGATGTGATGATGCCGCAGAGGGTGAGGCTGCAACACGAAGCCGCTGCTCAGCACCCCAGAAGTGTAAGTACCGTGTCTTCTCATGCTGTCACCACACTCAGTAGCATTATTGTCAGTTTTTCAGGGTTGGTGTCTTCTCCATGTGTGTCTCTGGTAAGGCTGCAGATGCAAGGTGGCCATGCCTAGTGTGTCAGTGAGCATTTCAGGGTTGTCTTTGGAGAAGCTTTTTATTTTGGGTGGCACACATTACTTTTCAAACAGGTACAGAGGGTTGTTTTTGTTCTTTGCTAGTCAGCCTTTTTTAAAGAAGCAGAACACCTTAGATATGAAAACACAGGCTGAGGGTTGTGGTGTCAACAGTTAAAATCAGTTTCTTTATATTTAGACACCTTCAGATCATAGCCCCCATCTTTAGGATGGTTTTGCATTGGCATCTATGAGGCCAGACCCTTCCCTGAGCAGCTGGGAGCTGGCAACTGCCAAGCACTGGCACATGTTTGCCTCTCAGCCTCTTGGTAACTGACTGTAGGAGGAAGTCCCATTCTTCCTGTGTTCACATGAGCACCACTGGCCTGCATGAGTCACTTGGATATGATAACAGCTGTTCCCCAGATCCTGCATTTCGACTACCTTGCTGGTTCTGCTGGTATAGGAAGTAACACTAGGGACTGAAGGTTTAATAAAAATATCTTTT